AAACGTCAGCCTTCCTGCTCCTCTGATGCTGCTTGGCCTGCTGTGTTCATCCAGCTCTACACCTTGTTATCTCAGATTCTCCAGCATCTGCAGTTCCTACTACCTTAGGGATTATGCTCTGTTTCTGGATGTAAGATGCCACATAAGGCTTTACAACCCCCTCGCCACCCATCCGTCCTTTTTGATGGTGGGGTAGTTAATTAAATTCACTGCCTACCTGTCTGCCCCTAATGTGATCACACCCCTACATGTTGATGAGTAAATTGAGATCTTTTGGTGGACAATTAATGCCCAATTAAGAAAATCATCCCTTAACCCACATTGAGAGGCTTGCTCTGCAGGTTTTGCTGGTGATGGTGGTTTGTGAGGGGAGAGGAGGGGCCTCTCCTTAATTATTCTTCTGGGACCCATTGAAGACACCCTCCCCCACGTGTAACACTCCGTGAAATTGTCCTCCCCACTGTGGCGTTGTAGCTAAATTTGCAGATGATATAATTTAGATAAGAAAGTATGTTGTGAAGAAGACATAAGCAGGTTATGGGTGAATATAGATAGGTTGAGTGAGTGAGCAAAAATCTGTCAGATAGCATATAACATGGCCAAAGGTGAGATTGCTCACAGGAAGAATTAAAAAAGACATACATTATTACTGCTGGACTCAGAGGTGCAGAAGGATCTACATATTCAAATGCATAAGTCACAACACTCAGTTAGATACTGTCAGCTAGTCTGACATTGTCACCCAGAGCTGTATGATGTACATGGTCTGTACATCAGGATGTCCAGCAATTCAGCAAGATTAGAGTTGGGAGCACATTCTGGTGAGCATATCACCAGTACATCTCTGCAGCTGGTTGTTGGAACAAGGAGGACTACCATTGTCCAGGCACCTGTTCATCCCCAGGCAGAAGAGGACCCCATACTATCAGCCTCCAATAACACCACTAAAATGCACAAACAGAAACAGGAGCAGCAGGGAGTCTGGAAATATTCACGTCACTGGATTGTAAATTTGGAAGAAGTTATCAACACTATTTGTGATGGGCAAAAAACAAGCTAAGAGTTCTCAGCAGCACCCTGGTCTGAGGCATGAGGTGGGTGCATGTCCTTGTGCTCAGAGTGTCCTGGCAGTAACACAGCAATAAGAAATGTCGGTGAACACAGTGTAGTATCGAAGTGCAGAACTGTAATCAGGTCGAGGCTAAGATATATGCGATGATGCTGATAATTGGATGTGGCTGGTTCTTGGCTCAGTGGACAGAGGCTAAAGTGGTCATTCTCTGTGGAGCATGTCCTGAGGTATTAGGGAATGCTGGTTAAGATGGAAGCTCATAGAAGATGCTCACACATTGCAACCATCAGCTCCCTGCTCTGCCTCTCATGTTGAGAACTGTTGCTATCTTGTTTCTCTTCATCATCTAGGAAAATAGCAGCCTGCATATAAGTGAGGCAAAATTAGATAATAATGCTTGTACATAGGCCCCTCACTGCTCACTAGTGAGATTCTCAGTTAACCATTAAAACATTGGGTGGAAAATTTGACTTTCTTTGCTTGATGAAAAAAATCTGAATTTTCATTCTTGCCATTATTTGTCAGCTGCCTTGCTGTTGTCCTCACTGTTCAGGGACTGGGAAGATTCAACCTAATGTTCTGATCCATCGCAATACATTGTCTCATTGTTCAAGTGCAATACTGGAAGTGGCCACAACTTTCACAGAGGTGACCAGGCCATCAAGAGTTGCGGACTTTGATTGGCTAGTAACTCTCTCAGGCAGGACCTCCTACCCCACAGGGATAGCAGATTAATGCCCAACTCCATGGAGTGTGATGGACTATTCTCCAAGCCTGGATTAGTGTTATTCTTACAACACTGAAGACTCTCCACATAATCTTCGGACAGAGAAGCTGCTTGATCAACACCCATTTGCCACCTTAAACATTCAGTTCTGCCACCAGGAAAGCCCAATAGCAGCAATATGTACTATCTAAAAAATGCAACTCACCAAGCTCTCATCAACAGTGCCTTTCAAACCCATCCTGTAAATCCTTGTTAGCACCAAGCAATACAAGGGTAGCAGATGCTGTGGAAAACCACTAACTGCGAATTGCTTTCGAAGTCACACACACACACCATGCTGACTTGGAACGAAACCACTGTTAACTGTGGCTGGATTAAAATCCTGGATCTCCCTTCCCAACAGTCCTGTTGTTATCCTTACCACACAGACTGCAGGGGTTCGAAAGACAGCTCATCTTCACAAGGTACTTTGTGGTAGGAAAAATGAAAACAAAATATTGAGGCTAAGCCTTCCACTAATTTCCCATCCATTGACCATTTACAAGCAAGCTCTTAGCTGAGATGTCTAGCACTTCTGTTTGAGACAGCCTCGTTGTTCAATACAACCTAAGTCTCTAATGGTATATTTTGACGCCAATGCCATTTTGACGGTTCCAAGGTCAACTGAACCTTCTTAGGAGCAGTTATCTGCTTTGAGACAGGGTTCATAGTGACCGATGTCTGTGACATTTGTTCCACTTATCAGCTGCACAAGTATTAACTCAGTATTCAGAGATCAGAGAGTTTCTCAATGAGGCATGTTTTCTTTAATAGGTTATTATGACATAGATTTACCAAAGATTTGCAGACCTTCAACCCAGCTGGACTATGCTCGTGATTTTACCTCAAGCAAGCCTCTTCCTACCCTGTTGCTTCCAACCCTTTTCAAACATAGTCTTCTTATTAACAACAAAATCAGAAATTGCTGGAAAAACTCAGCAGGTCTTGCAGCATCTATGGTGAGAAAGCAGAGTTGATACCTTAGGGTCAGTGACCTGCTTCAGAACGTAATTGTATTATTAATGTAGCCATCTGCCTTAATGCTACATGCATCTATATTTCTCACCTCAAAAGACAGCTCATCTTCACAAGGTACTTTGTGGTAGG